CTTTTAATGAATCCAGTATGGTGTGGAAGACCTATTTGCAGATTTAAAAGAATGGAAGTGTTCTCCTTATTCATCAAAACACTTACTTTAGTATTGATCATGTTGTTGACATAGAGGTCTCATGTGCAAATCATGCAAATATGATACAGCGGCATTATAGGGCTACATTTTTTAACCTTTCTGCCATGACCATGTTGTTTCAGTATTTTATTTCAACTTTTAAAGGAACTTATCCTTTACAAATGTTCTTGTCCTGCCCATTAGACATCCCTTAGAAGTCAGCTAAACCAAAGTAAGTCCAGCAGGGAATTAAATGTCAGAGCTAATAAATCTAACTCCTTTTAAGCCCTCTGCTGTTACAGTTGCTTTTTGGCTCTTTTCTCTGACTGCAGTGCATTACAAAGTGCATTTGAATATAACTGACCATAGATCTACTGTATGTTTTATCCTATTAGTTTCTTAATTAAAAACGTTTACTTTGATAGTGACATTCAATTGGATTTTGTACTGTATATATACGTTCTGAAAAAAGTTTAAAGTAACTTTTTTATCCATTTCCTCTGAACTAACTGCATCTTACTCTTGATCAAAGTTTAAATTGTTTTCTCCTCCTCTAAACTCAGAACCTGTCCATCATTGTGCTGAATCTGTTCTCAGCACCTTGTTTTTTCCCCTTTTCTTTCTCTTTCACATTCTCCATTGATTCTCTCCCAGATGGACTGCTTTGACCTCTGACTTGAGGGGTTAACAGCATCTATAGAACTTCTGCAACTCTATCAGAATGGAAAACACCACTGCCTTCAAACAAACTGCTGCTTGTTTTCGCCTTTCTTTTGTTCCTTTCTGTCCATATCTGTGTCAGTGTGTATTATGTGTATTGATAAATTAAATAAATTAGATAAAACTGCTTTCTTTCTGTTTCTTTTTTCTTTCCTCATTTTATTTATTTTACCTCTGTCCTTTAGAAATTTGACTGAATTGGTTTAAAAAACCTATGAAAATCTGCATTAATATATGTAAAATAATTTGCATACAGTAAGCTTCGCCCTTACTGAAAGTATAACAGTGATGGATTACCTATTCCAAAGAAGATGTTGTAATGGTTCCTTTAACAACTGCTATACAGTAGGAGTGCAGTGGGAACTGAAGTTCAACGCTGACTGTGCATATTCATGCAAATCTTGGGCAGACAGGTGAGGTCAGTGATAAAGCATTATATGTCAATAACTGGAAATCCATGCTGGCAGTAACCATTGCGCTGGTGTGTACAAGAGGTAGCATAGCTCCCTAGCAGCTGACAACAGCAGGGTCGTCTCCTTGGAGAGTGGTTGTTGTCATGGTGTCCTGACAATAGCTGTACTAGATGTCTGTAGGGAAGTAGGGAGAAGAATGCTGCCCATGACCAAACAGTTGTTAAATAGGGTCTTGGTACCCCATTGCAAATGTATTTATTAAGGTTAAATATGGTGCATTGACTTCTCTCTTTTGATTGATTATGGTTGTTTCATACAAATGTGTTGGATATTACTTTGTTCAACTACTCTTCAGCTACTGGCATACACATTAGAAATTAAACTGGAAACTCACTGGACTGTCATACAAGGGTTCACGTTTTTGCGGTTTCAGCAGAGGCACACAGGCCTGACAGAGACAGAGAGAAAGGGAGTGAGACGGTGAGCCAGTTGCACAGCTCAGGGCTATTATGGGATGGATGCTCTATAGACAACACTAGTAAGGAGAGAACATTTCAAATAGGGGCCTGTAATGGATGTCCAAAGTGATTTCTCAGAAACAGCATTGTCCTTTCAGTCTGCACACCAGAGAGGCTTGATTGGCTGTATTCAGCTCATAGTTGGCCACCTGTCTGCCCTGCTGGGAAATGGGTTTTTGCCTTTTTTTTGTCTCTCTCTTTCATTTGTTCCCTGTCTCATTCGTCAGTGTGATCACTTTAGCTTCGGTAAGTGAATTGAAGAGTAGAGAATAAGAGGTCTATCACAAAGATGAATATGCACTCACACATGCCTTTTATTTCCTGCACATATCTCAAATGCACATTCCTTACTCAGTCAGTAGCCATCAAGAGTCCATCGATGCTTTTCAGGCTGTGTTTGAATGATTGTTGTGATAAGTTGTATAAATTGCACTGATTTTGCAAACCATAAACATATTTTGTTTAAAACATGTTCCCATGTCAGAGCAGGTAACATGATGTTTTATTAAGATTATCCAGTGTTGTAGTATTAGTTTGTTTATGATTAATAATGATAGAAATTGCTTCTAGTTTATTGGGTAATCCAGCATCATAATTAGTGTCCTGTATTATGTACACGTTGTATATGGGTGGTGTTCATATGTCGGCAACCTGGAGAACATAAACATGGACCTGTGAAAATTTTATGGACCACTTAATATATTTAGTTTATGTATGCTCAACTTTTAATTGTAAATTATACCATGAGAGTAGCATCTTTATCTGAGTAAAAGTTTGTCATCATTTACTTTGTCTATGAAAGACACAATTTACAAATTAAAGTATCACAATTAATGTGCAAGAGGCAGACACAAAGAGAAAGAGAGCTAAAAAATAGAAAGGAGCTTAGTCTCATACAGTCTGAAGCTTTCTACCGTATACTGTAAAAGATATTTGCTCTCTCAGTCACAGAAGTTGTGTGGCCACCATTAAGCACATGGTAGCATTTTGACAGTACAATAAAGTTAAAAGCTTTCTACTGCGTTCAGCCTTGGCAGGAGGTAGTAATATATTGTCTAGACTTGCAGGGCCGTTTGTGAAGACATCTATCAGAGCTACAGAAGACCAAACAATAATAATAATGAAAATTAACAAAAAGCATTGCAAAGAGTGCTTCTGTTAGCCTCTGCTAAAAGTTGTGTAGAACCAAAACTGCCAAAATAAAAAATAACTAAATAAGTGACCGAATAAATAAATAAATATTCCATTAATAACCAAAAACAATATTGAAAATAAATATAGTCAGTAATCAATTTATAAATTATTATTTCTGTTTCTTTGACCTTTGCATTAATTCCCTTATTTCTTTACAGTACTTTCCCATTTAAGTCATGTGGCCAACTTCTCTCCTATTGATTGATTGACTGCAGAGATCGACTTTACATACCTTCGGAGCAGTTTGGAGTACTGAAAGTCAATGGGGGAATGTTAAAAATGACTTTTCAAACGACACACCACACATGTCTTATATCCAGTCCGACAGCTGGTAGACTGTTTGAGGAGCAGTGGTGAAAAACTAGCACAATCTCCCACCTCATCCCCTTAGTCCACCAGTGAATGAGAGGGATGAGCACTGATATGGTGCAGTGAAGAAATATTGAATAAAAAATATTTCAAGAAATATTCCTTTGATTCATCCTAATTCAGAACCTAATGCTCTAATCATCAATATAATAATAGATAGATAGATATAGTGATATAGTATGGAACATAGATTCCAGCAGTATCCACAGCCTGATAATAATAATAACAATAATAACAACAACAACAGGAGGCAGAATGCAAAATAACAAATAAAATAAAATAAAATAAAATAAAATAAAATAAAATAAATAGCCAAATAACGAGCATGGGGCTAGTGTCCTAAGGTGCATGGTCAAATCCAGTGCTTGAAAGGCCTAAGGTGCATAA